CTGGGATCCTTATTCTAGTTCGTATCGAGATACTCTGATTTCTCGTATTTACATTTTTATAAAATTTCGTGCTCAGTGCTCAAAAATTTGCGCTTTTACGATAAAAATTGTGATACAGCGTTTTACATATCTATCAATTTTGCGATGCTGCCACTTAAAACGAATTCGGCTTCTCATCTTGTTTACCAGAATTGCATTTAATCGAGAACAATCGTTGCATGCGCTGTTTAAACTTATTTTTAATTGAGTGACACTAAGCCGTCAAAGTACAAATGTTTCTTTTCATTTAGTGTAAGGGTCTGATCCGTTAGCATCCTTGAATATATCAGAGCTAAGCATATCAACGTTTACTGAATAATAGAATTAGGAAGAAAGTAAGTCTTTCCTATTGAAACTAGAATTAACACCAACTGCCCTTTAAAAATGCTGTCTAAGCGCATGGTATCTTAACCAGCTCGCGTGTTCTATCTTTATTGGGCCGGTGATGACATGACAAGCCTGAACAGCTTAAGCATTTTTTCTGTTTGCGGAAACCAACGAAATAAGTAACTAAACTAGTTGTCGCACCTTGGGTAAGCAATCTATAAAAATTCTACAATTGTATAGTTCCAACGAATGTTTTAAAAACTTATTTTTATTTAATCATCAAATCATCAGAATTTGCTGCATTACGTTAATCATTGCGATACATACTAAACCTATTATCAGTACAAATATTTTGAAAGAAGCGTATACTTAAATGCGATTTAATTGCAACTTACCTTATCAAGTTTTTTATTCGATAATGACGGTTTATATATAAGAAGGACTTCTCGCGTGTCAACTGTAGTCTAATGATATTAATTAACATTACTGTAATGTACACGCCTGTTTTGGCACTTTACTGCATGGAATGTGTACTAAATATCGAAATTCAAAATAAGGTGGCTATTTATAGTAGAAAAAGAAAACATCTAATCTTTAGTTAAGCATTAAAACAAGACAACAAAAGTAAGCATAAAAAACGTTTTTATTTACACAAATTTTGTAGCATATATGAATTAGCATGAAAGAGACCAGATAAAAAATAAGTAATTAGAAATAATAAAAAATGATGAAATAATTTTAAAACAATTTTAGCATTGCTAATTATGGTTTAGTTGCAAGGAGATAATGTAAGAAAAACTGCTTTCCATTAAAGAGGGTGAATTACGTTTTTATAAATACATTGCTGAATGTAATAGTCATCCAATATATTCACAAGCATTAAGTACACTGGATAATTTATAAACATTTATGAATATTCAATAATTATAAATAAACTATAGTACTACAGGCATAATCATTAAACTAAGACCAACCGCGCCTAAACAGTTATTATCTAATTGTGTTCATATAAATAACTGTCGACCAACTTATCTGCCTTCTCCGCGCCAATCGTAATCCTATTATTTCCATCAACTCGATATAAACTATTTGCTCGCTTCTTTCAAAACTGCGAAACTCTCTTTTACCTTTATAATATGCACGTACAGCGCAACCTTTTTTCTATGTGCTATCTTGTTCAACACGGTACATAAACAGCAAACCTTGTCCCTAAATGTCTAGTTCCTTGTGTTTATTCCCTATGGGTTGTATTTCCATCAGGCATTTCCGTCAGCTGTTAAGTAGTATTTGCATTCCGTTCGACTTAAATGAGAAACAAAGCATAGAAGTTTAACCCGTACGCTTCTATGCTTATATATGTGCATTCAAATTTCGCAAGACAAAAGACACAAGTTGCTCAGTTGACTAGAAGATAAATCTAGAACAAAATTTCAACCGTAGGATGTACCTAAATTCAACCTGAAGAGAATCCGTGAGTGACGATACAATTTGCGCCATTTAATGATTTCTATATTTTTGTATACCAGCCTTTATCCAATGAAAAATTTTTAAGTCAGTTTCTACATAAAGCAGAAACAAAAGTAGTTGTCGTTTGTGTGAAAACGAAAGAGACGAGCGACTAGAGGGCCATGTGTCCGATCTAATCAGGACACAATTCGCACTGTACGTTTCGTGCTGGACGTGATTTCTAAGCAAATTTCGTTCGAAGAACAAGGATTTCTTCCTTTTTACCAGAGTGCGTTCTACTGAAGAAGTGCACTTTCCCACCCAGTGCTCGTCTCTATTAGCGGTAGTGAAAGCGCAAACGACAAAGAACAACTATCTTTTCTCACGTTATATTCTGCTACCACTTGTACAGGAAATATTTTATTTCTGTGCCCGGGAGGAATTCATGTACGAAAACTCGGAATATAGGGTGCCAGACCGCTACGGATGTTTGTTGATCGTTAAATAAGCACCAATCAAACAGCTTTGCACATACTTAGAGATTCACATCCAAAACAGACATCTAAATACTATAGATAATTTCTCTGTTATTGGCCTAAGATATTTAACCGATAATAATCAATAACAAATAACGCGGTATTTGGAAGGACACGCGGGTTCCTGCTTCTGAGAAGCTAGCTGTGTTAAAATTTGTCACAAAAATGAGGCATAATGAACTTTATCTCTTGCAATCATCAAATATATATTAGGGCATGAGAAGGTAACTAATACCTCATAATAACAGCCAGACACTAACTACTAAATATTTCATGTTTAATTTAAAGATCTATTTTTTGTCACCAAATCGGGCTCAATTTGTTTACGCTCATATGCTCTTACCAGGCAGTAATTGTTCAGTTTTTAAGTGTATACGTAGGACATTTGGATTAAGGCGCCAATCTCTCTGTTGTATATTAGAATACTGTTATTACAATTGAGGTGCATATCTCAAAAAAGATTTCTCTTACTTGAAACTATAACACCAATCTTCTACCATCAAATATCCTTCAACAGATTTAATTAACGATGTCAATCACGCTTAGCGCTGTGTTTACCTCAGGTTCTCCGACAAGCTTATCGATACAATCAGAAGCATTTTCTAAGTGTCATTATAGTGTTAGCCAACTTAAAGCGTGAACTGGTTGGCCCAGAGATAATATGTATTGGATTTTAAATCACTGAGACTGTAACTGGATATTTGTAAGTAGGTTCTCTTAGATCCATTAATCGGTTGCATGTTTTCGCGCCATGGAAAAATATCTCTAGCAGTAACGATTACATCGGTAGTTGCAATTTGTGCATAGTAGTGTAAGGGATTAAATTAGTTGATAGTACAAACCCAGCTAGCGTATAACAGTATATCTCCGGTGAAGGAATACTATTTTACGCTAACTACGATTTCATTTAAAGGTGAAATCCTTTTTGAATACATCCTTACAAACGTTTTACAGAACCATATTCCTGTACTGATCTATTGGAAACTTTTGACGGAAAAATATCTAATCGGATCTTCGATAAACATCTATTCACACCAGACGATGTGCTACTCTTTTGAGGGCTGAAAGATAAGTGCTTTTGTAAGACTATTGATTTTTTCACGTCAATGATAGAAAACCTAAAAATTTCTGATATTCGTGGAAACCTACACAGATATAAATCTATAAGCCCAACGCCTCCTTCTTAAGCGGTTTTATACGTACACTTGTCACTCATTTGCTCATCTAATAATAATAACAAAGAAGCAATGTTTTCCCGAGTTGTTATTAATTTCAGACCTGAAGAAACAGGCGGTGTCAACTAAACGTCTTCAGTTGTAAACGATCGGGTTGGATTATTTGTAGTTTGCCTAATTGTCATGCAGAAACGAAAACTGCCGCATGAATAACGTTTCATTTATCTAGTATTAATAATGCCCTAATAAAAGTATTTAAATCTTTTTAAGCATAAGATGAACGTGTGAACTAAGATATAGCCTAATGTGTCATGTGCGACAAAATGTCCGTATAACGAAATAAGCGAATTGATCTTTATTAAGATCAATTCGCTCCTCGTTAAATCTCGTTCCTAAGGGCAGCTCTGGAATGGCCTAGATCACTTTTTATCGGTTTATTGCGACAATCAATAGTTAAATATATATAAATAAATATGGTATATGGCATTGTGAGTCCCTTGCTAATCCAGTGATGTTCAAGCATGGGGCGTCATTTTACAGTAAACGTGGTAAAATTAAGTGCGTAACAAACTTGAGAAAATCTGTGGCAAGTTCCTGAATCAAAACTGGTCCTTTCTCTGTTGAGAAGCAATTAACTTAAACCAGTGCTGCGATGGCTAACATTTTTTGACATGCGCCACATACGAAACCGTGGTAAGATTGTCTAATACTTCAATTAGTAAAGATTGTTTTAGACAAGATAAATGAAATGAATTGAAGAACTCGAAACTATTTGTGAAACACAATTCGGGCTATACAATCTACCGCTAGGACAGTTAGAATTCTTATTCAAGTTAAACAGGGCACATAGTAACGTACTTAGATCTCTAATAGAGATAGTAACTATTTACATGAATACCTGCGTTTATTTAACAGTTCGTAGTAGTAACTCTTGCAGTAGCCAACATACTAAACGTTACTTGAGTCAATATGAAATCAACGTGTATTAATTGTAATCCACACCTTACACGCCCTAGAAAGCGGCAAAGAAGACTAAGCTTTGAGTTGCACAGTGTCATTGATTAAAATAAATGTGCCGAGTAATAGGCCGCTGGAATAGCAGCGGGCAGCGTTGATCAGTCTAATTTAGTTTAAATGGATTAGATAAGGAGCTAGATATGCCAGTTACTGTACACCGTTCGGATGCGTTGATTACCTATTCCGTTATCTATGTCACGTGACAAGAAAATGGAGGTGTTAAAGTTTGCCTAACGTGTTCAAGTTTTAGGGTAACAAAACCTGTGCGTGCTGCCTTTCCATCGATCTTTGAAGAATATCCTTGCAGGGACCAAGCAACTCTCGAAATGACTGATTCGTTTCGTCACACAGGGTTTACAAGCTAATCTTAGAATTAATACTATATGAATACGTGAGAGTATCTTCGGGTAGATACGTGTGAGTGCCGTCTTTCGTACATGCACGTTAGATCTCACTAAAACAATGCGTATAGTCATTGCTACATAATTAAATTGATGATAGTCTCATAATTACTTTTCAAGGTAATTCATCATTATTTCTTTTCAATGCACCAGATCGCTTCCACAAATATATTCTTGCAAAAATCATAGGTAAACCATGCGAAAACCATACGTGAACAAGTGTGGCATGCCTGACAAGATATGCTGCCGCACACACAAAGGCGGCCATGACAACAATGTAATAATTACAAGAAAGTCTACATTTCCAGTGACATAGTCGAAAACAGTCTAAGTCGACAGTAGATTACTTCTGCAAAACAACTACCTACAAATAATATATTCGGAAGAATAGTTAACTCTCAGAAAATTCGTCGCTTCGTTGAGGCTCTGCTTATAATGAAAACTTAGTTTGTTTGATACGTAGATAAACCACGGTAGGCCTTATTCTTCAGTCTCGACCACACTCCAGTCTCGCAAATAGCGGTTTGCTCGAAACATACTTTTTATTTTTAAAATGTGAGTTGCTTTTTATTGTTTTATATGTTTGGTGTTCTATAGACTTAAAGAATCATTAGGTATAATCATTAGATATTTCATTACGTCCATCTAACTTAGAAATTTTACTGTTAGAAAATTAATTTTTTAATAATCTTCATTAATGCTGGAGGAACTTGCTTTTATCACTACATTACCAAGTCGAACATAAGAAAGCATATCTCTTAGCCAGCGTATTTTAAGTTTATTAAAAAAAAACACGCAAATTAGTTAAATATCGCAATGCATATATTGTTCAAGGGCGTCCGTCATGTGCGTATACTTTCCCATCAGACCGTTTCATGCCACCTTTCTATCTAAATTGTAAACTGTAGTTGATTTTGTAAGTTTTGAGCTTGTCGCATAGGATGTATAAGTTTTGCGAAAGCTATTTATGTGGATTATAGTCCAAGTAGTCCAAACTTGTAATGCTCATATTGCCAATGAGGAATGTTTACGATGAACTTTGATCTTGAACATTCCGTGTCCCAAACAAACGGGATACCCTTGTAAAGAACAATACATAATACTACTAACTAGTAATTTTATGCTTCATGCAATGAACTAAGAAGTTGAACTAAGAAGTATAACTGAAACTGTTATTCCTAAGATAAACTTATCTTAGGAATAACAGTTTCAGTTATACTTCAACTAAGAACCAACCCAAAAAGGGCACAGTCGTTAACCAATAGTTGTAGAAAATCCGTTTCGATTATAAGGCCTTACTGATAATTACTCTGATCCACGTCGCCATCCCTGCTGTATGCTAGCCTAACTTATTATTACCGCCATCCACAACAACATTTTTACTTGCAGATTGTAAGTGTGATGAAATCTTAAATTTCAGTCGACATTGTCATATATTATTAAGCGCATTTGTAAAACCCCCAAATCTTGTATGCATTCAATTAGCTGTCTAAGGTTTATAGCAGAGCATAGCGAAACACAACAGCTCTATCAGTTATTCATTTTCTTGAACACGCATTTACGGGTTACACATTGTCCAAATGAATTTAGTAACTGGAACCCGGAATTCGTGATATAGTATCAAAGATTCATCGCTTTAAGCGCCTTGTAACATTATCATATACTTGCATACTTTCAATCACACTAGTTTTAAACTTTTTCTAACAAGCAACATTTGGCTTTAATACGTTATATAGGCGTACTTTCTGTTCTGTAACGTAGTTTTTATTGTAAAAGACCATAAGCAGCCAAATGTACAAGCCAGCATTTTTCATTCGATGCTGCTCCTTTGAAGTACTTTGTTAATATTTGATATACGTGTCAAACATCAGCTAACGCACGGTTTCTCCATTTTACTAAAATAAATAAATTTGTATCCTTAGAGTTCTAATCCGGATGCATCGAAGTCGCACTTTATCTTTAAAATACTTCTAAGCCCACCTGCAAGTATATTGCAAAGCTATGGGCATAAAAGAATGGCCAAAGTTATATCAAATAATTTATATTTATTGGCCCTATACCCTCCAAGTCCTATCTATAACATACTACATATATGTATAAGTTGTTGAAGAGGTATCGACCGTTTTCTCTTTAAATGGCTCCAAAATCTCAAGTAATATTAGTCGCGTGAGTGTTCTTTGAATACTAGGGTTTAGCTATACTCCATGTGTTAGCATTATTAGAATGCCTTGATTTAAGGTAGAGCACCTTGAGGACGATTGAACTTTTGCAAAAAGTCGCTGTGCTTTACAATTTTATTACACAAGGACAAATTCAGCCCAGATCCATAGAAAAGCTTGTGCTGTTCATGGTCAAGGTTACTATGATTTATCACTTGTGATCACAGCTTTAGATTTTGTTGCCTTTCTGTAAACTTTCGCAGATGCGCATAAAATTAAGTGAATTATTTTGCATCAATCTCTGTGCCATTAAAACACTGCACTTTTTTTTTCTAGTCAGCTTTCCCCAAACTGTTTAAAACTATTTATTGATTCTCATGGCTACTCACGTGTTGATTTCACTCAACTTTCGCAATATTTCATCAACTTACCCCGTAATTGGTTGACCACTACGGAGACCACCTTTGACATCAGATCTTCCAAAACGGAAGCTACAGAACCATTTTTGGATCGTTTCTTCTCATGATGCATCTTACCCAGAAACAGCGGATATTTTTCCATGGTCCTGGACCGTATTTTTCTTCATATTGTAATAAATGTAATTTTTGTAAAAATTCCACCCGTCTTCGAGGCGCTCTATTTTAAGTCTAAACGCATTTCAACAAAAACACATCTGCTACCGCCGAATTTCATTTTTCAAAGGATCGTGACAACCCATATTATTTGCAATAAGTGACTTTGAAGCCATCTAGGTAAAAAAACGTTCAATACTTTTTCGACAACCCAATATCATGGTAAGTCCGTGCATTTATCAATTAAAACCGCACCCATTCTAATGTTATTAATTCCACAAAATTAACTACGGATGGTCCTTTCTGTGAAGCTGTGTACAAGCACTATATTACATAGATTATATACATTTTGAGCCTCGAGCCTTTATTGTAGAGGGGAGCCGCTTCAAGGTGTATTAATTTTGATTTGATTTCAATCAAAGGTTTCTTCACTCAGTATGGCATGGGTCGTTAGTGCCAGAAAGGTACAGGTACTGTCGTTACGACAGCGTTGGCTACGCAAATATTAGATGATCTACGTTTGACATGACATCAGTGCTTGCAGCCATATACCGGCTTACTTTATCCATGACCTACTTGACCTCGAGCAGATCTTAAAGATTCTCACATCTACTAGTATGGCTCAATTAATTTAAGCTCTTTTTCCTAGAGTAGTAGCGTAGAGTGCATCGATATCTGCTTGGTAAAATTGCTGGATTTGTTTCCGACGGATCTTTAGCGCAGCAGTCACTAAGCCGGACTCCGGAAGCCATTCCTCTACGCACAGTTTTACCTGAAACCAGTTTAAATGTCCATAACCAGGCCTTAGTAGTAATTCACGTATATTTACATGTTTTGTCCAATGTAAACGTGATGTTAATTTCCAACGATCGTTGCGGTATATATTAAACAGCCCAAACATGAGCAGTCGAAGCTATGGCAGTAGAATCTTTAAACAGGAAAGAATGAAATATATTTGATAAAACAGATTTTTCACGTTAAAAATACAACATTGACTAACGGCTGCCCTGACCTTTAATAAGCGTGCATTTCAGTTTTAGTAATATACCCTTTATTTTTCTTCTATTCGAATTGTTCTTACACATTAATCTTTCTACAATGCAATATAAATGCTCACAGTGTTACCTTTGTCGGGATTTCCATTTTGTGTAGGCCGACCTTTTTACCATGGTCTGCGATAACCTTCGTTACGTATTCCAGTACTGCAGGGTCCCAACATATCTGTTCATGTGTTAGCGATGTTTTCCCTAAGTGGCTAGCAATTTTGGCCAGAGCCTAAATCAAATAAACAAAATCACACATATAAACGCTTGTTTCTCATATTACCAGCACTGTAACATACATAAAAACGCTTTTCTTGCAAAACCCTTCGGGGTATTTCATACCTAGATCAAAAAGGATGCGCGCGTGTCAATTGCAAAATACGGCGCGAATACTGAAGGGCTGTAAATATTATTGTTGGAATGTTTATAAAGAGGTAGAAGCTCATCAGTAACGTCATTTTAGTGAAAAAACGCCACCTTTATTTCATACGATTTTTTGGTAGATGTTATATAGCTTGTTAATAAAAGTGCTAGATGTAGTATTTGCTTCCTACCTGAGCATTTGGGCACACCAACGCGATGAGGTACGTATGAAATGAACTGCCGACAACACACACGTTATCCACAAAGGGAAGAACTTTTAATTCCATTTCGACCTGTAAATATTTATATATATGACATGCTTTACTGTATACTTATATATATATATATATATATATATATAATGTAAAAGCAAACTCGTGCGCTACTCGGACGCCTCAACAACAGTTTGGTTAGAAACCTTCCTTAATAAATAAATGTACCACAATCGACTTTGGAAAAACAGCAACACTTACGCCAGTACAAATCTTAAATTGTAAATTTACATACACATAAAGCTCAATCCTTACCTTTCCTAAAGAGACGTACTCGCCAAACTGAAGTTTTATGAGATCTTTCTTTCTGTCGATAATTTTGAGAGTGCCGTTGGGATAGATCTCGCCAATGTCTCCTGTGTAAAACCAACGCGTTCCCCCTTCATGACAAAACACTTCCCGGGTCAATTCCTGTACAGCAGTGATAAGTATCGACTAAGGATTCATTAGTATTTTCCACATGGTTGTAAAACTAATGTGGTGGAACTTTTTTAATTATCCAATATCCAATAGCCAATATCAGCATAACGTCTGGGGACTTTCACAATTAACTATTTTGATAGGACTGATTCCTTTGAGATTAATAAAGAGATAAATACATTGTACAACTTATGCGTACGATATGCGATAAACATGAGACTGGTGTTGCATGGCTGACATGTAATATGAAGTACCTCGTTCTTATAGTAACCTTTCGTTACACATTCACCTCCGACGACAATTTCACCTCGGGGATATGGTTTGTCAGTGACATAATATCCAGCTTCTTCCCAGTCCACGAGCTTAATCATGCACCCACTTAAAGGAGGTCCCACACGGCCCTAGCATTGAAAAAAATAATTTATCAGCACATACCTTTCTTTTATATTCTTTATGATGTAATCAGCTCCGAACGAATACAAGTTAAATGAAGTGCCTACATGTACAATCCGGTTAACATAGAGTTAGCTTTGATCAGCTTCAACATAACAAATAAGGATATACCTTTGATACGTCCGTTTTCAGCATAGCGGTAGCAGCCGCTGCTGTCTCTGTAAGTCCATAGCCTTGAATGACGGTACAACAAAAAGCAGCCTGAATGAAGCTGTGCGTCTCTTCCGAGAGCGGTGCGGATCCTGTAACGATAGTGCGAACCCGGCCACCCAAGATACTGCCAAGCTAAGCAGTCGGAGGGCAGAATTAAACGAATAAAATAATTCGCCAATTTGAAATGTGCGAATAACAAAATATAAGAAAGTCAACATATATTGCTATATACAGAAAAATAGGTTTTGAGAAAGTTCCCACGTATGGAAATTCGTAGTGTTACCACATTGACTTGGCTGCAATATTTACATATTTAACTAATTGTTGTCTTTTTTGCTTACACATAAGTGATACTAACTTATAATTAAGCCAAGTAAGAGCCATAACTATGTTATGTCTGAGGCACGGGGAAATTAAAACGCTTGTTTTGAACAACTTTTTTAGGCCACTACCTTCTTGAAAATGAGTCGATTAAGGAGGGGTGTATCATAATCCCATTTTTGCCAAGCTATCTTGTAAGCGATCGCCCAGTCGAAGAATACACCAGCGAAGGCTCCACGGGTTCGCGCGCCCTCCACTATCCCTTTTTTGATCCGATCTAAAATCAAAGGAACACCTATGAGGTAGGTCGGACGAAAAAGGGATGCGTCACCACGTTCACCTTCCTAAATATGCAACGAGAAATTGATGTCCACACGTTATAAAGCTGTGTCACATGGTTATCATTATATATTTTGTAATGACGTTGCTAAGTCGAACAAATATGGGATCAGAAATGACTAGTCATCCTTTCTTCGGTATGAATATATTACACCTCATGAAATGCTCCTCTAAAAATTATTTAATTTTACGTCCACATTATATCGTTAAGCATTTCCTCGGACAATTGGTTTACAGCACGGAAGGAAGTGTGTCTAGGTCAAATTCTAATCTGAACCAGATCACTAGTTCTAGTCTAAGTTAATGGACAAGCACGCGAACCACGTTATGACGGAAAGATGAAATACTACTCTGGGAATCTCTTCCCATTTTGTTAATAAAAAACGTGTTGATGTTTTCATTCTACTACAAATTAATACATGTTCAAACCTTAATAGCTGTGCTTCGGTCAGTTAAAGTTAAAGGTGAAGAATAGCCGATACAGATGCCGAGGGAAAGCGCAAGCGACTCAGCAGCCAATTCAAGAACGTGCGCTAGAGGCAGATATGCGATGTATCTTTCGTTGCTGATATCCTGACCCTGTAGAAAAATAAAATATTTATCTGCCGTGATAAAAATAGCTGCGTGATGCCTAGCTGCATGATGATTCGACATTCAAAATCGTATTATATTGCTTATTGAGGCTGCACTTGGTCAGTACATCAATTATTGTTTCTCGCGTAAAAGTAATTCAGAGTTAGCTTAGCATGCAGGAACAATTACCTTTTATTTAGTTATACATTAGCAAAATAGTTGTTTGTAGGCTTCATCTAATTTCATCTGGTTCTTTCTAATTCGCACCAAAAAATTATTTAAGGTAGTGTGTAGTACTTACTGAGGACGCTAATACGGGCGCCATTCCTTTAGCCGACGCAACAATATTTTTATGGGAGATCATTACCCCTTTTGGAATTCCTGTTGAACCGGAAGTATACATCAAGATGGCCGTATCCTCTGAAGTTGGAGCCTCGCCCTGCATTGCATTAATTTCATTTATTAAAAGCTGGCACAATTCTTCTCTTTGTGATCTTTTCGCATCATTTTTTTTTTCAAATACAGTAGGTAAATAGTGATTTCCTAAAAATAGTTTATTCCATTACAGCGTCTATTCTAGTATATTCTCAAAATATAGATTCAAAAATACCAAGCAACTCACTCTTCGGAGTTTGAGCTGCCTCGTATATGCGTGGTAATTGGACGGTTTAGAAGTTTTAGCTTCAACAGTCTAACCAATATTATCTTCCTACCTTAAGTTCGGGATCAGCATTCTTGCCAGCATCCTGAAGCTGCGTCCAGCTGACAAGGTTGATGGCCTGCACTCGTTCTGGTCCATTCTTTGCAACATGATTTTCTATGTAGATAATATGTGTAATAGACTGCATCTTTGGGAGAGCTTTCACAACCTTCGGTAAAAGCTCTTGGGAAGTGACAATATGAGTTGATTCAGTCTGGTTGATTCCTGATAGGAGCCACAAAGGAAACAGTATGAGATAATTACTGAAGTGAGCACATGTGAGGTGTAGTTTGGATACAATGCATTTAGCAATTCTTGCGCGAAAGCAGTTCATATATTGGATATCACAAAAATAGCCATTTTAATGTTATATCGGATATTGGTCACATTGGATTATGGTTAGCAATTCGATAAACTTTTGGAGTACGGTCGGTACCAACCATGTACAATTCCATCTTCCCCAAGTGTAGTATAGATCGTAACAACAGTTACGTTTAGTCTCAGAAGAGCTTGCGCTGTTATCATCCACTCGATTCTAGTGTCTGCAAAAATTGCCACGTTTTGACGAGGCCGGACGCCTAGAGCAAGAAAACCCCTAACAAAAAATAAGTCGATACATTAATTAGATTACTGCAATAACGACTTTCGTTTAAGTCATATGAGAAAATTATTATTAAAACTTGTGTCTATAACCTCTACTTACACAGGTGAAAAATCATGATAGGAGGCGATGTCTAGCAGGTGTATGTGTCTGCTTATTTTAAAATCATCTAAAAGCGACGATTACATGAAAATCATGGCACTATTATTTGCTTAAAATAATGGTTCGCATTTTTTCACGTGATAATTTGAATCTTGCCCTACCAAGATTTAAACTGGAAGTCCTACCTTCCGGTGAGATCAAGTAGTTCATCAAACTGTTTGTATGTGATAAATTTGTAATCACTGGCAAGGCGAAGTTTTTTGAAGACTTTCCCATTAGGTTGAACCTCATTCTCTTCAGCCAATACCTTCAACGTACGATTAATACAGGCACGTATTAATGTAAAATCTTGCATGTTAGGCAATAAAGGGTACATATTTTTCTCTTTCTTTCTCTCTCTTCTTTATATATATATATATATATATATATATATATATATATAGAAGAGAGAAAGAAGCACTTTCGTTATGAACATATGATCATAGAATTCATGTGCTGTAATTCACGAAAAAAACGATGCGAACTGCCAGGTCTTGTAAATCTTGCGCGTTTCAGTCTCTCACACCTTTGAAAACTTACAAATTGTATATATAGATCATACATATATAGCGGCTCACCCAACGTGTTCCGAGGCACTCTTTATCGCCGTATAATGCAATAGCTCGCCGAATTAGTTGATCAACTGTCGTGATTCCCTTGAAGATTTCATAGTCGGGTACAGTGACTGGTGCCCAAGGCGATTGTGGGTCACCCGGCTTCAATGGGGCGGCGTATAAAGTTGATCTAATTCACATTTAGGGAGCGGCAAAGTGCTATGAGATGAGATTACTAAACTTCACTATCTCGCATAAGGCTTTGTTCGTTGTCATGTCAATGATTGGAGTTGAAACGATTTTGCATGGTTCGCATGAAAACCGAAAATGAATACATGATTTTGGACAAAACTTTAAAAGCCACCAAATGACAACGTCATTGAGCACACAAATAATTATTTCTACGCGGGGTAAGGGAAAATAGTAGATGTTGGAGTTACAACTGACCTTGCGAAACTCTGCCTCCAGGGTCGCTGTATTATAGTGTAGACAGGTAGTGTAACAATATCATATGCAAAGCTAAGCATGCGGATTAGCCCCACAGCCAAATGAGCCTTTAATCCAGGGTTCGATGATTTTGATGAATCTGCAGACATCCCTTTTCAGGTGGTTTCAAGTCTTTTTTGGTCGCTCAATCCAGAAATTCAGTTGTTAGGCGTTGATACCTCCTAAAACTGCTATCACAATGGAAAAGTTGTGGCCTGCAATGTCCAAAAACATAAGCAAATGGCTTACGTAAAATGATATACAAAAAATACCTAGCAATTCATGCAGTTTGCTTATAACAAAGTGCTCGATACGTCATATCTTTTCAAAAACTGATTCAATGAAGGTAAGATACTTTCCCTTATAAAGGATCAATCAAACCATTAGTTTCAATCAATACGATACAACATGGGCGATACACACCCCTTAAAATTCAAACAGGTAGAACAGTCATTCAACTAAGCTTTAGTACACATAATAAGCATTTTGGTCTAGGGGGCAGAAGCTTTTGTTTTGTCCAACATAGTAAAGGTAGTAAGTCCCAGGTAGCACTAATGATGGGACAGCACAAAACGTAGTGTTTATCAAAGATACCAATCACGTAAGGTACGTAAATTGTACACGATTTGCTGAAGCGTTCTGCAGTTGAAGCTCGGCAACGCTACAAAAAAGCTCTGAGGGAGCAGTTCGGGAAAACTTTTTTTTTTTTTCGCCTATACTCTTAGCAATAGAACTACGCTTTAGTTCAAGATGAGATAAATCATCGGTCACGCTTTGCGTCCTTTAACAAGTTTAATTATAATTACCTATTAATAGAACGAAAAAGATCAAGGTACATCGTTCGTTGCTGACCTAAAAGAATCCAGCACGTGCCTATCCATCCAGAATAGAATACTGTAGCTTCTATGAGCTTTTTAAAAACGTAAATAAATAGTTTATTCAGATGAGTTTTACCGACTTATCCCTTTCTGTTGTATAGAAGCAAACTCTCACCTGAAGGCAACGGATCACGTGCTAATGTTTGCTTTTACTTTCTCAGTAACCTCTCTCTTGTTAGCAAGAACGTCGGTTGAGGTTTACATGTTAACACATGATATAAGACTAAAGGCTACTTGAATGAGTTGGTAGAAGATAGCTCTTCAGAAAGACTAGAAGGAAAATGTCACTGCAGAAGGCGGTGCACCAAAGGCACATTAAATGTTGGCACCTAAACACTAAGATGCACGTTAAATACGAAGGCCAGGGGAACACTAAAAAGCGGTATTTGTCGTAATATACTATCTTAAGGAAGTTGCATGAGGCCGGAATGCAAGATTTATATGATATAAATAGTTTTAGAATACGTAGCGGAAAACACTAACCAAGCAAGCATTTGATATCGCGCAATGAATCAGAGCTGTAAACACATACTATAATATGCAAAGAATATCGACTGAGAAGGTATAGTAAGCACCAGGAAACTAAAACAAATTATCAGTGTTTGAGGAAACGCGCAGTTCTTACTCTTCTAGGAATGCCCAGAAATGTAATTACATTAATTACTCTGTCATATTGTTATATATATAGTACGATACAATGTTATACTTGATATACTACCAACCTTAAACGTATTATAATTGAACATTGACCAACTTATAGACATAACGATATTTGCTACAGTTTCGATTTTTGCATTACCAGCCGTATGTAATTATACATGCCTAAAAGACAATTTTACGTCGAATGTTTTGTTGGGCTCTCCCAACTCTATTTTTGCTATAAACCGACATAGCTATTTACCCCGCCAACTGTCGCGTCCTTAGGCGTGCTGAGAGCAATCTGCTTCCTAGAAAGAAAAGGTGTTAGCGAAGACTTCTAAACAAAGCTACAACGAGCTTTTCTAGTCCAAAGCCTGTATTTCTGTTTTTGTCATAAATAAGACATATTGCTAAACAGGCTATGCCGAAACACAATTTATTAAGGAAAGCCAATAACGAACAACCTAAGCGCTAATGTTGTTATTTTAGCATCAATTAGACGAAATGAGAAGTATAAATCTATAGCTTATGTGGTACTAGATGCACTCGAGTTCCATTTAAGATGCCTTTTTTTTAAGAATGTAACTCATCCAATGCCCAACAAAAACACCTGTTCCATACTCGACCACTTTATCTCACTCTAGTAATTATGTAATTATAGACGCACCTTCATTATTTCTTTTTATGCTTATAATCAGGTGTCACGTTGTTTGTTTTTCTGAGTTACTGAGACGAACTTCTATATCTTTTATTGAGAAACATATACAAGCACAAGTAAGTTCACCTACTCATTACTTCTCAACAAAATTAAAGTGGCCAGGCAAATCTGGTCTATTGACCGGATTCGCCTGGCCAATTTATCTTTAATCTCGAGTGCGCCTCCCAAAAAATAGGTGAGAAGGGCGACGAATGAGCGAATATTTTAGCACCCCTGCGTGACAGCGAATATGAATTCTTGTATCCACTTCTACGGATTGTAATCATTGAGGAGTAGGAAAGGTCACCTTATCACCATCATCATGTAGTCGAATAAATATGATTTCGGCCTATGGCTGTGTGCGTAACCTGGTAGTTCTAAGACTATAAGAGTAAAAAATAGCGCATCGTTTGCTCACAATAGAAAGAATCTTAGTATGCTACCGGTGAAGAAAAAAATAACTAATCACGAAGATGATGAGAAGGTGGCAAGAGTATGAGAAACCTTTACTGAAGCCGTTAGACCTTGATCATGTTAAGTGATTTCGGTGCCTCTCAACTGAGTGAAGAGTTTCGCAAGTGGTCAAATTGACTGGTGGTTATAGGTTTAATGTAAAATCGAAGCTACTACGATACAAGGTAAAGCATTCAACGAAAGTGACAACAAATCATTTATGTGCCGCTTCCCATGCACACAAATTCAACGATAGCGCTCAATTAATATAAAAAAGCACTAAAGTTTAGTTTATATGCGACTCTGTGTTAATGCCTACCAGTACCTTACGTAAAAACACATACCTGGTAAGAAGCGTAACTCAAATCTAATTACTAAGGAAGGGCTCTGGTGACCACGAAAAGCTTTTACACCTTCTACAATATTGCAAGAAATCATTTAAAACAATAAGCAAACCGCTTACAACTGATAATATATGCTTGCATCGGACTGAAAACTTACTACCAAAATCTTTGTTAACGACCTATTTCCTGTAGCGCGGAGAATAGTCTCCGACTATGGTACGGTTCGCGACTTTATTGATATTCCCACCGGTCAGACTTCACTGCATGGTGAACAGATATTACGAATCTAAACAATTTGAGATCTCTAAGTTTGGTGACCGATCAACTTTACCACAGTAATAGACTTGATCCGTCACAGAGAAAAAAAACAGTAAATGTGCAGTAAGTACTGTAAAAATTCGGTAATTGATTCAGTAGTTCTGATATTTAAGCCGTGTTCATTGATCTAAAACGCTGCTTGTATAACAATCTATTGCTTGTCGATAAGACCTATTTCTCCTGCTTTTTCAAAAGGAGTTCACCTTTTCCGATACGTTAATAACCTCGATATGTAGAAAACAAGTCTCGAGTGTTCCCTTTCTTTGATTATTGCTATCGATTCATTATGGACTCACCTTTTAATATTTAAAATTTTATAAACATCAAATATATTCGAGATTCTTAAAGCAAAGTCGTCTATTTTTATAGAAAACAGATAGAAGCATAGAAAAATTACTAAGCTTATTAATTTGTCGACTCAACAATTGTAATGATAACTTAACTCCAACTTTACTATTACCCTTGCTTGTGCTAAAACGTTCCTTTCGATGTATCAGACACTAATCTATCTTAAAGTAAATGACATAAAGATAAATAACAAGAGAAAATTAAACGGAGAAGTGACACATCGTCTTTGCAGAAAAATAACTTTTTAAAATGTGCATTGTTAGAAAATGGTCTGCAACTGTAAATGCGCACGTAAGAAGTCGAGCTTAGTCGAACAGGATGATATCATTCACTTGCACAGAAAATCGTTAGCAGATTTTACTGGGATGCATATATTTTATCCATACGTCTCTTCTATTCGACTGAGCTTGAATTTGGTATATGGCGCACCATATGTCTGACATGAACCATATAATTATTTTCCAAACTTAATAAGATAAGAAAACGAAGTTTGCCTAATCGCAAAACTGAGGCACCTATAACGTGTAAGGAGATCCGACACTTCCTAGGAACTATCAAATGCGATATAATGTCGTGTGCTGTAATGTAAACATATATACATATTCTTTTTTGTTGGCAACGTTTGTTGTCAAGGGTCGAACAAGCCAAACTTCGAGACGAAGTTTCTTAAAAAACACATCTGCACAGCCATCTGTAGGTTAGCAATACGACAACATTCACGAAGAGGTAAAGTACACGACGTATTTTTCTGCACAAGTGACGCCTTTTGAAAAATTAAAAGTACCGTGGGTTTTGGTAGCGAATGAAGATCTAGCCGAGTAGATGTTCGGTCCAAACTAACAATGTGTTTAGAATTAACTAGAAGAACGTAGGTTCCGTTTGCTACAAGCTTCATAATTTAGAATGTACATGTAAAGATAGTCCCTAAAGAGATACCGGGCAGCTGATAGGGTCCTAATAATCCGATAAACCTTGCTCTCAGAAGTAATCGTCATCAGAAGACCTTGCAGCTTCTTCATTGAACTGTATGTCGCAATGAACTTTATTCATTTTAAAGGTAAGATACTGTCATCAAGGCAAGGACTGTGGCACATCTTGATTAAAAGTCTATTGAAGCATCCAAAACTAACCGGTTATTACTTTTTAACAACGGCTTTTCGAGAAAGTGCAATATTTATGAAAGCTGTGATTTTAATAGCGTTAGAACTACGAATGGTAACGCCACGGGAATATATTCACTACGGCATATTCGTGCATAGGCATGCAAGCTTCTTTTCCAATTGTAAGTGTCATTAGATAATGGATTGTCAGCTATTGTCAAATCCACTTTTATACTTATATTCAATACAAAGATCGAGCTGTTTTCTGGAAATCTTTGATTGATCTGTATTTCTGGCACTTTTATTTAGGAAAGATTAAATTTGACTGAAGCCAGATTTAATTTTTCCTTTCATTTTTTTTCATATCTTCACTTAGTTTTTTTTCCATAATGACTGGACATTTTGGTACATTGCTCCGAAAGACTGGTTTAGTTCTTAAGATACGAAAAGACAATAACGTCTTGAAAAAGTTTCACATCGATATTATTTCGAAAAAAATATACTATTATAGAAAACGGTGATGTGAATAAAAATGCTTACGTTTCTTAGGTCGGATGTATGAGTTAGCCAAATTTCAGTTTGCCCAGTGTATATTTGCACTCACTGGCTGCTTTCAATTAAAAAAAATGGCTGTTGTAAAAGAGACACATATGTCACACTGTGACACCTTAATTTTGTAGTGTCGGGCCGTTAGCGATAATGACTTTGTCGCCTATAGCGTGTAGCTATATAGTAGAAGCGAAGCTTAGAGCTTTCTTGAAAGCATTTTTAAACGAAACCTCGTAAGCAACATTTAACGATTCCATAATTAGTCAATTACAGCTCTCGGAAGATTCCAATATTTTTTTAGAAATTTAGTACCCTCCAGGATTATCCGATGTTATGGGATGCTCATTTGGAGTGTATGCTTCTCAAGTCACGTATTACTGTTATTGTGATATACCTTCTAATAGTAATAATTCGACGAATAGATGTTCTATTATATGCAAGTCGTCAGAAATATTCAATCGAAACTACAACCGATATCGGTTCTACCGATACATAAGCATCAAAAGTTCATATATCTAGCATTGTTTTTGTTTTGGTCTCTTGCCTGCTCCTTCGCTATAATATTAATGAAATCGAAGTTAATTTCAAGAAACACTGACTTCACTTTAATATTGAATTTATCGTAGTCAGTTACTTTCATATATAGGATCCAAAGCACGAGGGATGGTAATTGTAATCTAAACCCACCGCACGCGTGAACAAATTATGCTAATTCTAAACAATTTCACCAAAAGTATGCTTCAAGCTATTATTGCATCTGAAAAGAACGAATGGTTTCTTGTATGAGGTGTTAGGCTTACGAATTACGTGAAAATATGTTCTGGTGTCCCAAGATGCTTACTAGCAGATGGTGTATCTCTGCCGCACAGCTCTATTATACTTCGTTGAGCTAACAAAATATATCTGGATTGCAACGCTATGCCGCAATCCTTTCATTAGACAGTATTTCGAACATTTAATTCAGCACAAATGGATTTTAGGTTTGAATTTTTGTAGCAAGAAAATTGAGTTCAAAGATGCATGCTGAAACTGTGATTACCGGTAGGCTTGGTACAGCATAAATAAAGTGTTACCAGCTTCAAACTCGCAATAATATGTGTACGCATGCGCCTTGCTGGTAAAGATCTATGAAAAACACTATTATAGCTGCTCATAGAGCTAGCATTAAAGTGTAACCACATCTAATTACTTCCTAAATAGCCATGGATTGTTCTGTCGAAAGCAGACACAAAATATGCCATCACTAACAGTATTTAACTGCAGCCGTCAGCTTCTTATATTTAACAATCTTTCATAACCATATCGAAGCGTGTCTACAGGGTCTTGCCTTTTAGTAGTACTGCGTTTCTTTGAGTGCTATCAGAGCGACAAAGCATAGCCTTGAACTTATACCGCCAGCTGTTTGGCGAGAAATAACGCACTTTAACAGGTTGGCCCCACAGAGGCATTTAGAGAGGACCAAGTTCCTTGTTTTATTTACACGTATATGTTTCAAAAGCGCTTGTTCCGTGATTTTCAAGTAGCTTTGCTTGCGTAATTTACTAGGATAATTGCTTGCAACTATATACAAATGACTAACAATCCTCTAAGGCATATAAGCTAAGCATAGAAGCCACTCATTTATATCAGCACGAGGTCCTTCTGTCTCTTATTTATAATTGGTGAACCTATCCAGTTAATTGTCACCGTGACCGTAATTTATGGCAGATTTCATAAACTTGAAAAATACAGCGCTAGCTTGATGTATTTGCATATGTTGCTCGACATAAAACACGGCCGGGTTATTCAAGTACTAAACTGTTGCATTATACGCATGAACCGTATTTTTAGTATCAGCATATACGACCTGCTTCTTAGCGTATGCGAATAAAGCACATATTGGCTAACGCTGCGTACCCCTTACATTATTATAAGCCTGTCCGTTAGCCGGCCCTAAACAAGAAGCTATTGGATTTGCTTCTCTTCTGACATGTTAAGCTTCTGCACTTGAGTTAAGCTAGTATGTAGCTTTTCAATTTAAAATTTCTTTCAATTTAGTTCTGGAGGGTACGCACCTTTAAAATCCAACACCTCACAGCTAACCATAACACCACGGAGTTTTTTACGTATAATTTAGATAGGATAAGTTTAATCACACTCTATTTCTGTCTCTTGTTTGATTGGAAGAAGTCCACGCTAGGGCTGTCGAAGCACTATAGAAATAGTCGATCAGTCCGTATTCGTAGCAGTCTGCCGAGCGGTTAGAAGGCCCAGTCTACGTGTGCTCTTGCCTCTTGAATCGGGGTCTCGGGCCCGACTGTGTCTACGCTCGGAGTTGTGGTGTAAACCTTGCTACTTACTATTGTTGTACTATTGTCGACGTTTGTGTCGTTGCTTGTGGCAGTAGTGCCGACGACTAATGCAACACAGCTTTGATCGTTTTGGTCCCGCTTGATGATTCTGACCCGCTAATGCGCAGTCTCGGTTTCCATTAGGGTTTTCTACAAACGCCAACTTACTACAAAATCGATACGTCATGAGTGATTATGGTTCTTTCCAGCCGCTATATCGAGTCGTTTAAAATAATTCTTTACATCAACGAAATAGTGGACGGGTTATTTTTAATGCCTTCCGGTAGCTGATAGATAGACACATTTTAAGGTTGCTTCGAGGGTGAAAGTGCATATTCAAATCATTACTTACTGTGACCTCTACTTAACCCTATGATGATCCTCACATTATTATCAGAGAAGCAGCTCTTAAACTGACTTTGTTAATGGTAGACTAATCGTTATCCTAATCTAATCTATTCGCTGGATTATAAGCGAAAGATATCTCACAGAATGGCTCCTTTTTGTGATAAAATTATGCATTTTTCGTGCTTGCTTCTAACCTGCTCAGGTGTTTCCCTAAGGTTTCTAGTTGCTTCTTTTTTAAAAATAGTACCTTTTCTTTCATATGAGTTATTAAAATATCAAAGAAAAGGGGTTTATTACTACTACGTAAAATATATCTTTAGCGTCTTGCGTCCCATTATGGATCCATTATCTAACACCTGAAATAAGTCTTTAAGGAA